CTCTTGTAAATCTTCTATTGATGATTTAATGAAAGTGTTATTGATCAAAAAAATAAAAAAGAAACTCTTCAACTTCTTCTTTTCTTCACAAAGATCACGCTAAAACAATTTTCATCAACTTCTACTTGGTATCAAAGCAAGCTGAAGGTTTCTTGAGCTGCTCCATCATGCAGCCCTAGACCAGCCAACTGCATGGTGAGGTGAGAGGCTGATCGAAGACCTTAGGTAAGCCCAGTTTTTGGATTTTTTTGGTGGATCTGCTTTGTCTTGTAGCTGGTAGGGTTTCCCACCAAATTCAGGAAGAACTGGAGAAAAGGGGAGAGTCCTGTTTTTGTAGGACTCTTCAATTTTGACCTAGGAAGTGGCACCCTAGTTTTGTTGGGTTTCTTGGAGTTTTCTGAAGGGGGTGGTTCAAGTTCCACCTGTTTTGGAGGCCTCTGGAAGGAGCGACTGCTTCTCTCTCTTCTCCCGCTCTCACAGAAAAGGAATCTTTTGTGTGAGGAGTATATAGGGTACCAGAAGGGTGTTTGTGGTGCCTGAAGAAGATTATTTCATATTTTTTCATCTTAAAGTGATTTTCTAACCCTTTTTTGGGAAAATGGAGGGTCACAAAGCTGAAAACAAACCGGGGAGTGAAATGGGACAAAGGGGGAGGAGGTGTCGGAGACCTTTTCGGGGCTAGGACCATCACTACAGTTAAGTTAGATGCTACAAACTTTTTAGAATGGTCACAATCTACAAAGATGGCCATTGGTGTTCATGGGAAGTTAGGGTATATGACTGGTGAGGAAGTGAAACTCGAGACTAACTACTCCCGATGGGTACAGGAAAATTATATGGTAATGACTTAGTTATGCAATTCTATGCTGCCCCATACAAGTAAAATTTTTTTGTGAGATAATACAACTAAGAAATTTGGGATGGGGTTGCAGAAACCTATTAATAGAGTGAGAACGTTGCTAGGGCCTACCAGTTGAGAAACCAGGTTATTGCTACTAGACAGGGAGATAAACCTATTGTTGTTTATTTTTCGACCCTTAAAACCCTAAGGCAGGAGATTGACCACTTGGAGACTATGGTTTGGGAAAGTAGTAAGGATGCAGCAACCTACCAGAAGCTCTTAGAGAAGAATAGAGTCTTTGAATTTCTTGCTGGCCTTAAACCCGAGTATGACATTGCAAGGCAACATATCCTTTTCCAGAGATAGTGTTACTCTCTCTCAGGCATATGCCTTTGTATTAGGAGAAGAGAGTAGGACGAATGTGATGATGAAGCATTCGGGCCTTGATATAAAAAAAAAGCACTTGGGCCTTGAGCAATCGGCTACGGTTAGTACTTTGAAACCTAAACAGGGTGGAGACAGGGGTGGAAATGAAATCAAGAAGGAAGATATGAAGGACCTGAGCTGTGACTACTGTAAGAAGCCTAAACACACGAGGAGATACCTACTGGAAGCTTCACCCTCACCTTGCGCCGAATAGACTCAAAAACAAGAAGGGAAATGTGAACGCGGCAGTAACTGGTGACCTTCCTGGACCTCCTACTACAGCTACTTTAGAGTCTGTTGCAGCTGATGCAGTGAGGACCAATCTAGAAAGATATAGGCAGTTACTTAGTCAACGAGATACAGCTAGCCCTAATCCGTTATCAGGTGGACAGCTAGGTACAGGTGGTTCTAGTGGTGGGCATTCTACTTCTTTTGCCCATACAGGTAGTTCACATGCCTCTGCAAACTATGTTTCTACTACAGGTAAGGAGGGACCTCCTTGGGTTTCTGGAGCCTCAAAGCATATGACCCATATTTCCACCATTTTCTCTTCTTACCAACTCTGCTATGGCAGAGATAGAGTTTCCACAACTGATGGATCTCATGTTCCCATTGCTGGGAAGGAGTTTGTCAAGATAACCAATTCTATTTCCCTACCCTCTGTCCTTCATGTACCCAGATTAAGTACTAACTTGTTATCGTTTAGTAGTTTGACCAAGAATTTGAATTGCTCAGTGATTTTTTCTCTTGGCCATTGTGTTTTGCAAGATCTGATTTCAAAGAGGACTATTGGGAGTGATCGTGAGGTGAATGGAATCTACTTTCTGGATGCACTTCCCAGTCATCAGATTCATCATGTTAGCAGGGATTTTGAGTCAGAGTCTATGGGTCAGATTATGCCAAAGCATAATCGGTGGGGACATTTGTCTTCTTCTTTGCATTTCTTATTTCCAAAGTTATTTGAGTTTGTTAATATGTCTGTGAAGGTTGTTAGCTTGGAAAACATTGTAGACATTCCTTTAAAGCTAGTAATAAAAGATGTCCATTTGCTTTTAATGTTATTCATACTGATGTGTGGGGACCATACCGTGTTCCTTCTATGGGTGGCTACAGATACTTTCTTTTATTTGTGAATAATTTTCTCGGTATTTTTGTATTTACTTGATGAGATCCCGTGATGAGGTGCCATCCTTGGTTTGACAGTTTCATAAGAAGGTGCTAACACAATTTGGGGTATGAGTGAAAGTGTTCAGGTCAAGCGATGCCAAGGAGTATTTTGAGAAGATTCTTGCTTTGTATCTATTAGAGTATGGAGTAATTCATCAGAGCAATTGTTCTTACACTCCACAGCAAAATGGTGTAGTAGAAAGGAAGAACGGACATATTGTTGAGATTGTGAGGAGCATGATGATAACATCTACTATTCCAGTTCGATTTTGGGGTGATGTAGTTCTCACAACAGTCTTTTTGATTAATAGAGTGCCTTCTTGTGTTCTTGGATATAGCACCCCATTCAGCCTCCTTTTTCCTGAGGAGATGTTCTACATTCCTCTCAAGGTTTTTGGTTGTGTTTGCTTTGCACATGTTCTTGGTCCTCATCGCTCTAAGCTTGATCCGAAGGCAAAGAAGTATGTTTTCCTTGGGTATGCAGAAAATTAGAAAAGATATTGTTGCTATGATCCAGCCTCTGGGAGTCGGTATGTTACTATGGATGTCACCTTTTTTGAGCCCACACCTTTCTTCCAGAAGGGTTCTTCTTAGGGAGAGTGTTTTGGGGAAGGAGGTGAGCAGTCTATTCCTCTTCCGATTCCAGGCCCTAAGTCCACTCCTGTGTCTAACTCTCCTATGTCACCTACTTTAAGAAGGGTTCTTCTTAGGGGGATTGGGCTGTCTTTGATATGCCAATCAGTGAGATCCTTAGAGGGGGTCAAAACCTGGGTATGTTGGGACAGTCCGAGAATTCATCTGAGTGGGTGATCATAGTG